AGCCCTTCTGCCCTGCCGGCAGTAATCAGAGGACACGGCTGGAGTCACGCTCCACGCCCCTGCCTTCCAGCGCCCTTTCAGCCGCTCTAGGACCGTAATCCAGCCGTGAACTATGTACACATCCGCCCTGCTCCCTCCCGCTGCGGGGGGCGCTTTCCCGGGGCGCTGCTGGCTCCTTTGCCTAAGTGAAGAGGCTGGCGCTGGCTCCTTGTCCCCAGCTCCCCTGATTTGTGGCGCCCATGTCCTTATCGCGTGGTCAAAACTATGTAAAATACATCCGCGTGGGATCTTGCCCCATCGCCTTGCTCTAGTCTTTGTGGCAATCATTTAAATGACCAGTCAAGGCGCTGCAGTGTAATGGGTCACTCGGGCCACGCCAAGTGACACGTCCCCACAATCATCAGCTTTTCTGAAGGAGCTGGGACATGCCATTCCCTGGCCCAGCGCTTGGTTCCTGCAGAATATGCTGCCACGTGTCACCCTTCTGGCCCCTTCTATACACGAGAGAGCTTGAATAAGAAACTGGGATTTGACAGACTGTGTGTCAAATTGTGTGGTAGGTCTCCTCTGGCTCAACTTCCCCACAACTTGTCTTCTGGACACACTGTTTCTGACCTGTAAATTGCCATCCTCGGGGGAGGGACTTCAGATTGACTGCAAGGAAAGTGTATTTGGCTAAGCTGGAATTCATATGCACAGTTGACACCCTGAACAAAGGGTTACATAGAAAAATGGAGTGGTTCTTACATCACAATAGGTAATTTCCCCTTCAGATACTCTCACCTTCTCATCAGTGTTGGAGACGAGCCACATCCACTCTGACATAATTAGCACTAATGTTACACTCCCATCTGTGTCCCTTCCTTTTTTCTTCAGCATCTGAGGAAGTGAATACAGGCAGTACCCAGGTTACGTCAGTCCGACTTAAGTCGGACCCCTAATTACGAATGGGGGGGGCGCAGCTAGTGCGGGGTGCCTCCCCCACTGTCGCCACCTCCGGCGGCGCAGGGGGCGCTTCCCCCCAGCAGACCAGGGAGATGCGGAGCAGCTTTTCTCGCCACGGAGGACGCGGGCGGTGGGACCGCGGCGCGTCTCGGCAGTCCCGCCGCCCGCATCTCCCTGGTCTGCTGCGGAGGGGGGAGCTGGTGCGCCCTGCCCCCCCAGCAGACCAGGCTTTTCTCGTCGCAGAGGACGCGGGCTGCAGGACCGCAGAGACGCGCCATGGTCCCACCGCCCGCATCCTCCATGGTGAGAAAAGCCGCTCCATGTCTCCCTGGTCTGCTGGGGGGGTTCCCCCAGTAGACCAGGGAGACGCGGAACAAAGCCGCAGAGGACGCGGGGGGGGGGGGCGCTAGTGTGCCCCCCACCCCAGCAGACCAGGCTTTTCTCGCCGACGCCTGGGGTAGAGTAGCTGGGGGGCTGCCGGGTTGGTCCCGCTGCGCCAAGGGTCAGTTTCAACAGCGGCTGAATCTGGATGCCAGTTCCAACTTACATACAAATTCAACTTAAGAACAAACCTACGGTCCCTATCTTGTACGTAACCCGGGGACTGCCGGTAGTAGCTCAGGAAAGCTCATGCCCCAATGCCCTAATATACTGGTTAGTCTTTAAAGTGCCACCAGACTCCTTTCTGTTTTTGTTAGAGGAATTAACCACAGCAAAAATAGTTGTTTACTGAAGTTCCTTTAATTGTTTTACAGATATAAACATATTTGGTATGATTAATGTGTCTTTTGCTCGTTACACAACAAAATTAGCAAGACTGTGTGAGCACAATTGGTTCCCAAATAATCATGTTTATTCAATATACTGAGCAGTTTATGCATACAGCTGCTCTGAATGGTTTCCAAAAGCTTCTAAATTAGAGAAAACAGTGAACCACATGCAGGGCCGGATTAAGGCATGGGCTAGCTGGGCAGCTGCCCAGGGCGCCAATCTATGGGGGGGCACCTGATGGCAGCTGTAAAGGTAGCACAGCACCCCTTATAGCTGACATCAGGCGCCGCATGC